CTAACCCAGAGAAGAAGGAGTAATGATGCCTTCCTGGATCCTTCCCCACTCAGACTGGGAGCCAGTATCCCCCAGTGCCTCCAGCCTCTCACTCCATTATCACTCTCCCCACCAATTTCTCTCCTCTCCTCTTAATCCCCTCTCACTTTATCCAGCCTGGCAGCCTCGATGAGAGAGGGCATCATGAAGCATTCCAAGCTTTTTTCTCCAGCACAAAGAAGAGGTGTCCTGTGTCTCGTGTTTGACCATGGCAAGCCCAGTGTGCCCAGGCGTTCTGACTCCCGCTAAGCCCTACTGCCTGTCTTTGCAATGCAGGGGCTAGAAAGGCAGATGGACTTTGTGACCTGGGACCCAAGACGGGGGCATGCAGGCCTGCTCTGTCACTACTTGCTGATGACCAGAATGGTTACATATAGAGAAACCACCTCCCACCACTGCCACCACAGGTTGTTTTATTTTAGAATTTACTTATTATTTATTTATCTGAAAGGCAGAACAACAGAGAGAGATCGATCTTCCGACCTCTGATTTACTCCCTAAATGGCTGCAACAACCAGGGCTGGTTCAGGCTGAAACCAAGAGCTAGGAATTCTATCCTGGTCTCCCCCATGGGTGGCAAGGACCCCAAGCACTTGGGCCATCTTCCACTGCTTTCTCAGGCATACCAACAGGAAGCTGGATCAGAAGCAGAGTAGCCAGGACTTGAATTGGCATTCTGATGTGGAATGCTGGCGTTGTGAGCAGCTTAATCCCCTGCTCCACAACACCTCCAGGCTCCTGGTTTTAAGGAAAGCATTCTTTAATCATAGACTAATGGAATTTCCATAGCCCCGGTGATACTATTTCAGGCGTACACGGATGTGTTGAGATCTGTGGAACAGTCTATGTATGGGGTGAGGGCTGGGACATACATCCAGCTTGGCTTCCGGGCCTCCTTTCTTCTGGGTGTAGGTCAGCAACCCCCTCCTGGGCACAAGCTTCCTTCTCCCATTCCAGTTTGAAGCCACCCAGGCTCCTGGAAGCGCTCCCCCGGCACAAGGCTGGGATCGTGTTTGTGCATGAGCCGATGGGCATTCTATACCCGCTCTGGGCCCAACCACACAATACCTGCCTGTTCTCAAAACACAGCTTGAAGTCACTCTGGTTTCTCAGGTTTCATAAGTGCCCAGCGAATTGCACCTGGCCCTTCTTCCATCCCACGGGGCTGCCGGCTTGGAGGCCGAGGGGCTGCCTGCCTGGTTTCCCCCTCTGTCTGCTCACACAGGTCCAGCAGGCCCCTGAGGGGCTTGGGGTTTTGGAGACTAACTCGCTCTTGTGCAAGTCGGAGAGAGCCACGGCTGCTCTGGATATCCTCCAGGGCTGAGCTACTTGTCCCAGGCAGGGAGAGACCTTAAACAGGTCCCAGGCTCACTCATAGGGAGAGGTAGGAAAAGTACTTTGAAAGCGCAAGGAAGTAGAGATCAGGATCCGTGGAGCCCTGAGAGCCCCAGTCTTCCTGTGAGAGCTCCTGGCCCATCTCCCAGCTCTGCTCAGCTTTAAGCAAGCCCAGACACAAGTGGTCGTGGGGCTCACGCTGACCTTGGAGCTCACACAACAAGCACTAGCAGGCCTTTAACAAGCCTCCAGCCTCTAGGGGGTGGGGGTGGGGGTGGCTAGGGCAAGTGTGTTCAATGGCGCTGTGTCATTTGCTGGTGCAGTTCCAGGTGGCTGGCGCCACCACCTCTGCTCCATCCAGATGCTAAGGCCAAGGGGGCGCAAGGGGGAGGGTTTGCTTTGAAGCTCCAGGCACTGGCCTCTTGTGCTCCGTCTTGGTGTTGGGAAGCCTTGCAGCTGCCGCGGGCCCACACAGCTTTCTCCTCACTGACTTGGGGCTTTTTGGATCAGGGCGTAGGTGCAGCAGAGTTTTGGCAAGAGCCTTGGCAGCTCCTGCCAGGAAGGAGGCTGAAGGAAGATAATTAGACCTGGTAATTGGTTGCTTTTTCCTTTTTTTTTTTTTTTTACAGGCAATAGTGACTGTGGCTGGAAGAAGATACCGGAAGAAGATACTGGAAAGCTGTCCTCTGAGACCAAGGCTAAACTGTCCCAGCACTGGGATAAAATGCTGGCCTCCTGGCAGTCCTTACCTGGCCCGTCAGTCTGGCTTTGAAATGCTGCCCCTCAACAAGGCAGGTGGGGTTGACTTCATCCAAATTCACGTTCAGTTCTACCTAAATCTGGGACCAGGCATCTTCAAACCAGATCCAAGGGCAACTGTTCATGGGGCTGCCCAGCTGTAGCTACTCCAGGAAGACCCTGTGGGGCCTGTGGTGGAGGACTTCATCTCTGGGTGAAGCTGACTCATCATTTCCCCCAGATAAGCTTGTTCCTGGGCAGTTTCCAGGTCTCCATCCTTCCAGTTGGCCACCTCGCCAGGCCAGATGGCTCACATTAGATCTCAATTTGCGACCCGCCACTCTCTGTGGGCATGTGTTCTGGATTTGTCCCAACCCGAGCTGCTGAGTCACTCAGAGCTAGGGACATTCTCACCATTTGATTCCAGCTCAGTACAGAACCTGTGGGTCTGATTTCTAATTTCTTCAGGGGTTCTATTATTCTAAACCCTAACCCAGAGCTGTGGCCCTGGGAACCTGTGGACAGGCTGCAGGCAGGGTCCCCAGTTAATGCCTCTGTGACAGCCACTCACTCCAAGTCCATCAAAGGAATGACTGGATTGGAATCATGGATCTGTTCTTGTGACTGTTTCTTATCTTGGTTAGAAACAGAAAGAAGTAATGAGTGGTTTGAACTCTGGGAGTTTAGGCTTAGGTGGATGTATGCCTTCTGGCTTCCCTCCTGCCCTGTTACCCTTGTACTTATTCAGTAGATAGCTCCCGAGCCTGTACCGTGTGCCAGACACAGAGCTTAGGGCCCAGGGATAAGGAAGTAAAGACAATTCTTGCCTTCAAGGGACTTTCTGACTCATGTCTGAAATGGGTAGGCAGGCAGGCCCAGGGGGTGAGAGCGGAGTGGTGCAGAGATCAGGGCCCAGACGGGGGAGCCAGCCTGGCTCAGTTGCTATTCCTGCTCCACCACTTATAAGCAGTGTATCTGTGGGCAAACTCTGTAACCATCATGTGTATCCGTGTCCTCACCTATAGCACAGGAATAAAACTGATACCTACCTTAGTGTTTTATTCAGATTCAGGTAGTTCGTTCACAGGCTTAAAGGGCTTAGGACTATGCCCTGGAATGGTGAGGATGGACACATTCGGGATATTTGAAAAACTGTGGCCGGCGCCGCAGCTCACTAGGCTAATCTTCTGCCTGTGGCACTGGCACCCCGGGTTCTAGTCTTGGTTGGGGCGCCAGATTCTGTCCCAGTTGCTCCTCTTCCAGCCCAGCTCTCTGCTGTGGCCTGGGAAGGCAGTGGAGGATGGCCCAGTTCCTTGGGCCCTGCACCCGCATGGGAGACCAGGAGGAAGCACCTGGCTCCTGGCTTCGGATCGTCGCAGCACGCCAGCTGGAGCAGTCATTAGTGGGGTAGACCAACGGAAAGGAAGACCTTTCTCTCTGTCTCACTGTCTAACTCTGACTGTAAAAACAAAACAAAACAAAACAAAAAAACCCTGTAACATCACAGAATGAATTGGATGAGAGATTTAAGGAGAAAGTAGGGGTCTCCCATCCATACCAGTTCTAGACATTTGCTGACATGAATGCTGTATGTCAGTCTAGGGCCCACTACATATATTTATTTGGAGTGGGTGTTGTGGCACATTGGGTTAAGGTGCTGCTTGTGACACCATATCCTGCAACATCGCATCTAATGAGCACCAGTTCAAGTCCCAGCTACACGGCTTCCGATCCAGCTTCCTGCTAATGCATCCTGGGAGGCAGCGGATGATGGCGCAGGTGCTTGGGCCCCTGTCACCTACACAGAAGACCCTGATGGAGTACTGGGCTGCCAGCTTAGGCATAACTCAGCCCTGGCTGATGCGGGCATTTGAAGAGTGAGCCAGTAGATAATGTCTTGTTCTTTCTCTGTTGCTCTGCCTTTCTAATAGATAAAGATAAATATATACACATTTATTTGATCTTAAATAGTTATAGGCTTCATTTACTCCTTTGTAAAGATGGGATAGTGATATCTTCCCTTCCCACTTCATTGTGAGGAAAGAAGAAAAACCAGTATTTGGATCCATATGTAACACACCCAGCTTTATTCTGAAAATTAAGAAAAACAACACATTTTAAATATTTTCAAATAAAGAAATATGCTGTAAACTGTCAAGCACAACACACAAGGTGATTGCGATTTTCTACTTTGTACCACTCCCTGGACTAATCTCGTGGATAATTGAGAGATGACATAAAAGGCACTTTGTTGGACTTTAATTACAAACAGCAGGTACTGTCAGTACTGTTCTGTCTCCGTGTCATTTAGATTCCTGTTCCTGAGGACTCATGACCCTGAGGGGGTTGGGGACTTCCTTAGAAGGAGCCAGAAGCAGCCAGCAGCAGTGAGAGGTGCTGAGTTCCTCAAGGGGGAGCCCACAAATGATGCCCCAGATGAGAGGAGCACACGGCTGTCCCAGGTCTGGAGGTGCTGAGCTCCCTGCTCCTGCAAAGCTGGCCGTGTCCCAGGGCCGTATCCCCTCACACAGCACACGCTTATGAAAGCAGGAGGTGGGGTGGGGACTGTCGGGTGGGTGAGCAGGGCAGAGGCAGGGTGGATGGTAGTGTGGGACATGCGACATCACTCACTCGCACGAACCGCTTCCACGCGGTAGGAGGGGTCTTGGCAAGGGTGCGGAATCCCCAGCGAGACTGCTGGCTGGCGGGCCAGGCAATCGTGTGGGGGAGGAGGCAGCCTGCCCCAGAGCAAGTGGGGACTGTGGCCAACACTAACGGGATTACCATCCGCTGCCCTAAGAGCTGCCAGGAAGTTGGGAAATGGAATTTCAAGGACCCTACCACAAAGTCAAGATGTGTGGGGGCGGCTTGGATGGAAGCTGGGGCCCCAGGGACGGTGGGTCCGGGTCCCTGACGTTCCATTTGTTTCTTGGCAGAACCGAAACTTGCTGATTCCCTGACTCCTTTCTCAGGCTTTCCCAGGCCTTTGAGGGTTCTGGACTGTTCAGGAGGGCTTTATCTAGCATTCTCTGCGGACAGAAGAAGACAGCCATGAACTTGGTGTCTGCATTCCTAGAGGGGGCCGAGTGTGATGACTCAGGCAATCTGAGCCTCAGCTTCCTGAGCTCTAGGGACAAGGCTCGCGGAAGGATCAGGTGGGAATTCTTTGCAAAGTGCTTCTGGGTAAGGAACTGCTCAGGCACAGAACCGCCCGCCCAGGTGAGAGGAGGGCCTGGCTCTCTGGCTGTGCCGGGCCAGTTCTTCTGCAGACAGACAAATGGGCCTTCCACATGGATCTTCCTCCTGGCTGTGTCTGACGTGAGCGGCCAGGCCCTCGTGGGCTTGGAATTTCTCGTGATCAGGAGGTGCAAAAATCCCAGCGCAGCCAGGTTTTCGTCCCAGGACAGCGCTCACCTGTGACGTCACTCACCTGTGACGTCACTGCTGCCGCACTTCCGGCCCGCGCTGCAGCTCGCCAGTTCCCGGGACGCGTGAGGATCTGTTTGCAGCGGGATCTGTGTCAATAACACGAGAGTGTCTTTGCTGCTTATCTAGCGAGAGTGAGTAATTTATTTAGGATATTTAACCAAAACCAGACATTACCTCACTGGTGTCTTACCCAGAGCTTCCCCAGCCTTCCCATTAATTCCGGTGATCCGGGGTCTTTCGTCACATGAAGCCGGGTAGAGAGAGAGCAAAGGGAGCCACAGACACGAATTCGAGAAGCCCTATTCTAGTGTTTGCTTTCAAGCTCGTTCTTTTTCCCCAGTAAGCGTCTGTCTGTCTTCGCTCCCTGAGGCCACAGAGGGATGGACCCCAGCCCATCCCCCAAGCCACCCTGAGTCTAACCAGGCTTCTCCACTAATGGTCGGGAAGAGTTTTTGTGTGGTTTCCGGGGCAACACGAGGAGCACACAGGCCACCTCTGACCGTGACTTTCCAGCAGAAGTATCAGACAGATATGACTTAAGTGGTCATGCGTTCTGTCAGCAGGCAGAAGCAGGCCGCCACATCTCTGCCAGGTGTAGCAAGGCCTGCCTGTGACCCGTGGGTCATGGAATCCCACAGGGGTCATCCTCAGACAAAGGTCAGCTCACGGAAGCCCAGGCCAGGCCAGGGCATCTCTGTGTTTTGCAATAGAAAAATGGAGTCTGTGCATCCCAAGTCACCATCTGTTAGGGAAGATCAAAGAACTGTGAACTTGGCTGGCAGTTATCCTGACATGAGGACAGGTCCAGAGGTCTACAGTGAGGGCTGCAGGAGTGAAATGACATGCAGGCTGAGGCCTGTGTTAGCAGAGCCGGAGAAGGTCAGTGTGGCAAAATGTCGTTAGCTGTTAAGTAATGGAGAATATGCTTGCTTTTTTTTTTTTGACAGGCAGAGTGGACAGTGAGAGAGAGAGACAGAGAGAAAGGTCTTCCTTTGCCATTGGTTCACCCTCCAATGGCTGCCGCGGCCTGCGCACTAAGGAGGATGGATGGTAGAAGGCGTGCAGAGGAAGGATCCCATGGTAAGTCAGGAAGCAGAGAGAACAGGAGAGTGCACATCCGTGTCTAGGTCATCTCTCCATGGGTGTCCGTGTGTACATAATCACTGCCCGTGAGAGAGGCAGGTACTTGGCCTTGCGGTTCAGACACCAGTTAGTATGTCTGTGTCTCCTGTCAGAATAGCCGCCTTTGGCTATTCCAGCTTGGCTCCTCATTCCAGATTCTTGGAAAGCTTGGACCTTGGGAGGCAGTGGTGGTAACTGAAGCAGTTGAGTTCCTGCCACTCATGTGGGAGACCTGGAATGAGTGACTGACTCCTAGCTTCGCCTCACACTCTTGGGCATTTGGGGAGTGAACCAGGACATAGGAGTGCACGCTCGCTCTCAGATAAATGAATTAGTATTTTTTTTAAAGCCACCGTGGTTCAACAATGGGGGCTTCACCCCAACAGCCCCATTCAATCCAATTGCTTCTAAAGGCCTCCTTTAGTCACCATAACTGGATCGAGTATTGATGTTATTATTCCATGTACATAAACAAGTCATCAACAAAAATATTTTTGGTTCTCACTATATATGTTGTGAGAGTACAGAAATAACTAAAAGTGCCACAAAACAATAGAAGAATAGTGTTTATTTCTGGGGGAAGAGAGAAGCAAGTGGGGATGACCTTGATTGTATCTGTAATGTTTGTTTTCAGGAAAAAAATGTAAAAAAATCTGAAGCAAATATTTCAAAAGAGTGACATTTGGATATCTGAGAGGTAGGTACAGGGTGTTTTTTGCATTGTTGTTCTTTGTATTATTCTGAATGCTTGACATATTTTGTACTTTCTAAAAATGTCCTTAATTGATGTCCTAAAGGTCCTTCTTTCTGAGTCTCATCTTTTTCCATGACTTCAGAACCCCTGGACTCAACTTTCTCTGCTATAAAAATTATTCCCAAATCTGATTTTCTATGCTTTCTCTCTGCAGAATTATTCCTTTTAAATTTATTTATTTATTCATTTATTTGTGTTCATCTACTTGAAAGGGAGAGAGAGAGAGAGAGACACTCTCTCTTTGGGTTCACTCCCCAAATACCTGCAATAGCTGGGACTGGGCCAGGTGGAAGCCAGGAGTCGGGAACTCAATCTGGGTCTCCCCTGTGGGTGGCAGAGTCTCAAGAAATGGAGTTCTCTTCTGCTGCCTCCTGGTAGGCATCAGCAGGGAACTACAGCAGAAGCAGGGTAGCTAGAACTTGAAACGGCACTCCAGTACGGATGTGGGCATCCTAGACTGTGACTTAAACTGCTGTGCCACACTGCATGCCCCACACAGAAGCTTTTCTGTGTCTCTGCCTACATAATGATGATTTCTTCTAATGTGTCAAATTTACCACCTAAGTCAGTCATCTCTACCACCACTGTCTCAAAACAGCTTTCTTTTCATTGCTATTTCTGTCAATAACAGGTTCAATAAATGCGACTTTGTATTTCCATCAGTCCTTTCAACTTTCATCTCTTCCATCAAGGTCATCATATATGAAACTTCTAACTTACCTTCCAGAAATTCTGAGTCTTGGGCCGGCGCTGTGGCTCAATAGGCTAATCCTCCGCCTTGCGGCATCGGCACACCAGGTTCTAGTCCCGGTCGGGGCACCAGATTCTGTCCCGGTTGCCCCTCTTCCAGGCCAGCTCTCTGCTGTGGCCCGGGAGTGCAGTGGAAGATGGCCCAAGTGCTTGGGCCCTGCACCCGATGGGAGACCAGGAGAAACACCTGGCTCCTGCCTTCGCATCGGTGCGGTGTGCTGGCCGTAGCGCGCTGGCCACGGCGGCCATTAGAGGGTGAACCAACGGCAAAGGAAGACCTTTCTCTCTCTCTCTCTCTCTCTCACTGTCCACTTTACCTGTCAAAAAAAAAAAGAAAGAAATTCTGAGTCTTGTTTTTTCCTGAAATGTTGGCATACTTTCCCCACTGAAATTCAGGGTTTTATTTTTAAAGATTTATTTAATTTTTTGAAAGAGTTACAGAGAGAGAGGAATAGACAGAGAGAGAGAGAGAGAGAGAGAGAGAGAGAGATCTTCTATCTGCTGGTTCACTCCCCAGATGGCCTCATGACCAGGGGTGGGCCAGGCTGAAGCCAGGAGCCAGGAGCTTCTTACAAGTCTCCCACATGGGTGCAGGGCCCCAAGTACTTGGGCCATCTTTCACTGCTTTGCTAGGCCATTAGCAGGGAGTTGGGTCAGAAGTGGAGCATCTAGGACTCAAACTGGTGCCCATATGGGATGCTTTTGTTGCGGGCGGCAGCTTAACCTGTGATGCCATGACGCCAGCCCCTGAAATTCAGTTTTACAATTATTCTCAAGCTAAAAGACATGATGGTGGCTCACTGCCAGCATAAAAAATGGTCCAGAATCCTTAACCATTTGCTTACTGCCTGGAAGCCTGGCAATGACATCTTCTCAAGCTGTACTGCCTACCATCTACTGCCACTGAAGAGGCAGTCAGCTGCATGTCTTGAGATGTTTTTGCAAGATCACCCTTCAAGTTCAGGTACAAAGCCTTCTGAGTAAAGCCTTTGCCCATACTACTGTGGAAATCATTTCTGCAGCACAGCCCATATGCTGCCTCAGGTATGGGTACTGCTCTTTTTGTAAAAACGACAACAACAAAACTAGAAGACACATCCCCCTTCGCATCTCCAGCTGTTAATGATGAGCTCAATCCTTTGGCAGACCCAGGAAGCGGAGGTGGGGTGAGCAGACGTGGTTATTCATAAAGTATCTCTCTCACACACACTGCCTCCAGCTCGCCCTCTTGCTTTTCATTCCCCTGATTTCTCTGCAGGGCCATCCATTGTAAAAGAGGCTGGCCTCCAAAACCTGGAGGGGTGTAGGGTGCTATTCTTTGAAATAAGGATTCAATCAATGAAGGTTTTATTTTTTTCTTGGTGGTATGCAAAAGTAAATATACATCTTATATTGGTGGTATATATACGTATATATATATATATATATGTTATGATTTATTTTAATTTATTTGAAAGGCAGAGTTACACAGAAAGACAGAGATCTTCCATCCACTGGTTTACTCCCCAAATGGCCTCAGTGGCCAGGGCTGGGCCAGGCCAAAGCCAGGAGCCTGGAACTCCATCCTGATCTCCCACGTGGGTGCAGGGGCCCAAGTACTTGGGCCATCTTCTGCTGCCTTTCCAGGTGCATTATCAGGAAGCTGGATCAGAAGTGGAACAGTCAGGATTCAAACCAGCACTCTGATACGGGCTGCCAGCGTCACATGTGGTAGCTTAACCTGCTGTCCACGACACTGGCATCCTCTCATCCTATCTGCCTTTTAGGGTGTGTTTGTTTATTCATTTGAAAGGTAGAATGATACACAGAGGGAGAGAGAGAGGGAGATCTTCCATCCACTGGCTTACCCCTCAACAACCAGGGCTGGACCGGGCTGAATCCAGGAACCACAAACTCCATCTAGGCCTCTCACATGGGTAGCAGGAACCCAAGTACTTGAGCCACCATCTGCTGCCTCCCAGTAGCATTAGCAAGAAGCTGGATCAGAAGCAGGACTCCATCCAATACGTGGTACAGGTGCCCCAATCAGGGGCGACCCGCTTGCTGCACAACACCCTCCCCATCACTGTTACTTTATACTTTCTTTCTATGAATGGACTTCAAAAAGTTCATGGAAAATGCATATTAGGAATAAGCTGTGCATGGATTGCAATTAGTTTTTTTTTTTTTTTTTTTGCACCAGAAGAAATGCATCTTCTAGTTCTGTATTTCATGAACTTCTGGAGAAAACTCATATGCTTCCCACCTGCTTCCCTTTCACTAGCACCAGGGACCTAGGCAGACCAGACACTTCCATTGTTCTCTGTTGCCTCCTATACCACTTGTCCCAACCCGTGGGGAAGCTGGGAGCCCCAACATAGCTCTTTAGAGACCACGCTCTGCCTCTCTCGCCCACCCTGTCCAGATGACTTAGGCAAGAAATCCCCTGGGGCTGTAACAGTCTGCGGGAGCCCCTGAGGCTCTGAGTGCAGTATGGTTCTCCATAAATAATTCACGGTTATAGCTGTAAAAGCCAGGAGCTCTGTGTAACTGGAGAGGGAGGGCAGAGAGGGGATCAAAACACACGTGTGTGCACGCACCAGGACGCGCTTTCTCTGCGGCATTGTGACGTGGTTTTTAGTGGTGCTTTGTTCTGCACTTGACTGCTTTTGCAGCCGTAAAACAGGGCTGTCACCAAGTCGAGCCCTAGGTGTTGGGGAACGGCTGCAGAGACCTTTGTTCTGCTATGGAGGCGGCAGGGAAGTTGTGGGTTCTGTCCAAGGCCCAGCTGAGGAGCTGGTGGCGACTGCAGGACGGGGCGGGGGGCTGGGGGGGGGGCAGGATGTGTGGCTGCTGACGCGTCCGTGCGAAAGCCTCTCTGGCATCACAAACACCTCTGCCTTCCCTCCGCAGCCAAAGGGAGGTCAGGGAATCCTATTTGGAGGTGCTGAGCGAGGGGCAAGCGGCTGCTTGTGGGAGGATGAAGGAAAAAAGGCGTCACCAAGGCCAACGTGTGACCCAAGTGCTGTTGGGTGACCTTCACTCCAGTGGCCGCCTCGCTCCTGGGTGTTTCATCTTTGCCAAAACCACACAGGGAGGAAGCTGCTGAGACAGAGGGGTGACCATGGAGCCAATTTCTATTCCTAGCCTGTGGTTGACCCTGGCAAGCGACCTTGATGAGGTCATTGACCCCTCGTTAGGATGATTGTATCAGACTCCAACCAGGAACTCCTGTGGAAACTGTTGGGGGAGACAAACAATACCCTGGTGTTTGGGCGAGTGTTACGTCCTGACCTGGAAATCTGGTATTCTGTGTGCTGGCTGTGCTGTGTCCTTTTCCTTGGCGACCAGGTGTAGAATGTGTTTGGGGCTAGTGATAAAAATGGCACATATCTATGGATGTTGACGATGTGCTGGGCAGGTTAGTGTTCACTGGAACATTCTGCACTGCAGTATGGGAAACAGGTGCAGAGAGGTTAAGTCACTTTCCTGAAGTCTACCAGCCAGAGCCACTATTTGAACCTAGCCTCCTGGGTCCTGAGTTTGCTCTTAGCCACCACAATGAAGCCTCTTGAACAACCAGGTACTTTGTCACTCGGGCACAATTCCACGCTTTTCACAGACATGGAACTGCAGGAACAGACGGGAGACAGGCAAGGGTTGGGTGCTAATGTGTTGGCACCAAAAGGCTATTGAAAATCTGGAGAAAGAGAGGTCGGCAAGGGGCTGGACTTGGGCGGAAATTTCGTGGAGCAAGTGAGGCTTGAGCACTCTTGGTTTTTGCTTTCTAAGCAGCATTGGACTTCGTGGGATCATTCATAGGATCTAGAAAGATGCTGATTTCGATTGGTTGTGGAAAAGGGCTTAGAGGAGGGACTATTCGCTCGTGGTAAAATCTGGAACTTGCTATGTACGCTGGTTTGTGCTGATTCACAGAGTGCTTGAGCTTTTGGAGCTCTGTGAAATTCTGCAGTGAAGAGACCCGCCGGGAGGCTGCCTGGCCCAGCAGCAGGACTCCTGCGGCCCGTGTTGGGGTCTCTGGGCTCCATACCTGGCTCTAGTTTCATGCTAATGCAGACCCTGAGAGGCAGTGGTGATGGGGCTCATGGTTGGGTTCCTGCCCCTCATATGGGAGGCCTGATTTGGTTCCAGGCCATTGCAGACATCTGGGAAGTGAACCAGAGGATGAGAGCTCTCTCTGTTTCTCAGATAAATCAATGAATATTTAAAAATGATCAAAACATAGAAACTTGTATGTTTCTCGAACATTTTTGGCCATGGAACACATTTTTAATAGAACTTGTATCAGTATTTCCTAGATTTCCAAGTTTGGGAACCACTGATGTGGTGGACAGCACGTCGTTGGAACTAAAAGTCATTTATAAGCAATTTAAAATCAAACTCCACGCACACCCGCTGTAACTATCAGCTTTATGGAGTCAGCATTCATTGCCAGTTGTTCTTTTGATAATTGCTCATTTTTTCCTGTGTGTGCCACGTTAGTGCTACCCCAAGCAGACCACGGCTATCTCAAATGCAAGTATGCTGGTGGCTGGTGTATCTTTTTATCCCCCAGGACCACACTGGGCCACACCTGTCTAAAAGAACGTCAACTAACATTTGTTGGTTTAATAATAGGGAACAGAGGGAAGAAAAGAAGGAAAGCTCCCTCCTCTGCTTGAATTGATAATCATTATTGGTAATTTTCAACTGGTTACTTAGTTGTTTATTGCTACTCATCAGACAGTCCTCTTTGAAATACATTGTCTAAAATGCGAGAGTGTTAATTTTTGTCTTGGCACTGGACAGAGCTAGATCTGTGGAGGGAGGTAGCTGGCTTGGGGCACGGCCTCTGGAGTACACCTGTCTTTATCACCTTAGGCTGCTTCTTGCTGAACTGGGCGTGCTTGGGGTGGGTCTGGTTGTCACAGGTTTGATGCCTTGAGGACCCAGGACTGCAGATGTCAATGCAATGACTGCTCAGGATCCCACTGCTTGGTGGAAATAATAAGCCAAGGCTCACAGGGAGCTTGTAATTAAAAGCGAAATTGAAACTGCAACTTTGGTGTCAGAGGGTGGTCTCAGGTGCTGTTCTGTTTCCAAACAAGCCCTCCTCCCCTGCACATCACACCCAGTGGCCAGGCTTGGGGAGGGCACTGTGCGGAAGATTTGAGACTTTGAGGCATGTCTGTCTTAAAGCTTCTTCCCTCGAGTAGTTTTGGAACTAACCACTACCCCCTCCCGCCCCAGGAGAAGCACTCCCTAAACCGTGTGGCTGACAATGCAGGGGGTTTCCAGTGAGAATGGGGAAGGACTTCACGCCTGGCTTTTTGATGGAGGAGAGGAAAGGACATGGTTCCTGGGGAGGTGGAGGGTAGAGTCCTTGCCTAGGATAAAGAAGTTTCTGAACCTTCCTGTCTTTAGCTTAGGAAAATTCTGGCTCCCCCAGGGGTGTGGGGGAATTGATCTTGTTTGTTCTTTTATTTCTTCTTGGTTGAGTTCCCAGTGCAGATCTTGCAGGCGTTTTTGTCCTTGATGTCAGAATCACTCAGGCTTGGTTCTCCCTGGGCCTGGAGACTCCTAACAGATGCCACTGCTTCCTACCACAGAGGAAACCCACCCATGGGAGCCCCTCCCAGGCAGTAGATCCCCCCGCTGGGTGTCTACTCCCCACCCCCGTGGGGGGACTTCAGCTATTAAGAAAATACTAGGAGGAGGGTGTGGTAGGATTCAAAGCCTTGAAATCAGATCTGCACTTGTTTTTCTCTAAATCCAAATGGAGCCTCACCCACTAGCTGGCTGCTGGTGCCCTGGTGCTCCAGGCTCCAGCCTCTGTCTTAGAAGCAGCGCTCAAGGCCTTGTGTTTTGGATCAACTTGACCCTTCTGTGGTTGTGTTGAGTCCAGTCTTCAAGTTCTCCTGTAACTACCTCCCTTCGTTCACACAGGCTGTGTCCTCAGTCAGCTTGGACTGACTGGCAGATGCGGAAGAGTTGGGGGTGATGGGTCTCCACAGCAGCTCTGGTGTTGAGGGGTGTGTGGCAAAATCCTCACTTCTATACTTAATTTCTCTTGTGCCTGCCAGGGTGGGCCCAGCTGCCAATCTCGGTTCCTACCCATGGTGCCGACTGGCACACCCTCTGCGGCAAAGGAGAGCATTCCTCAGCAGGAATGTGAGGACAGCAGGTGCCTCAAGTCTTTGGGGCCACCTCAGGCTCTCTTCCTGTGGCTCCCCTGCACCTGCCCCTTGTGACCACCTCATCACTGAATGTTCTCCTGCCTGAGGAGAAATGCTGCCTGGGGATGGCAGCTTCTCCCCGCCGTCACAAGCTCCAGGCCGAGGGCAGAGGAAGCAGTGGGCCAGATCGGCAGTGTTCCCACTGTGGAGCTAAGAGCAGTTAGCTCAGGGGGTCTGGCTGCTGACCTGGGGGCCGCTGGGTGAGGGACTCGTGCAGCACCTGAATAACTCTTGCAGCCTACGTGCTCCAAGAGGCTTTTCAGGCCGAGCAAACATACTTGAACTTCCTCTCTGGCAGTTCCAACAGCTTCACCTTTGAATTCCTTGATTTCCTGACACATACAGTGGCTAAGCTTCACTGGGATCCTCACTGCCCAGCACTCTGCTGAGCACTTTCCATGTACCATCTTGTTTAATCCTCACGAGAACTGTAAGAAAGCTGCCATTACCACCCAGGTTTACTGACCGACTAACTGAGGGCTAGAGCGATCAAGTGTGACTAAGAGCGTGCAGCTGGTACCTGGCAGAGCTGGAAGTCTCACTGAGGCACCAGACTGCTGTCTCATGTACCTGGTAACTGTGCTGTGTCCTGGATTCATGTGCTTCTGATTTACCACACCTGGTCTTCTGTGTATTCATTTAGCACAGGGTTTGGCATACTATGTCCCTGGATCAAATCTACAGAGAGAGAAAGAGAGAGAGAGAGAGAGCACTCCCATCTACTGGTTCACTCCCCAAATGCCCACAGTGGCTGAGGGCCAAAGCCAGGAGCTGGGAACTCAATCCAGGTCTTCCATGTGAGTGCCAGGGGCCCAACTACTTGAGCCATCACTGCTACCTCCCAGGGTCTGCATTAGTAGGAAGCAGGAGGAGCTAGGAATCAAACCCTGGTACTCTGAGTGTTCCAACCAACAAATGAACTGCTCCAAAGAGTTGTTTAGAAATAACACACTGGGGGGCCTAGCAGGTTAAGCTGCTGCCTCGGATGCTGCCACTGGCATCCCATATGGGGGCTGGTTCAAACCCCAACTGCTCCATTTCTCATCCGGCTCCCTGCTAACATGCTTGGGAAAGCAGCTGAGGATGGCCCAAGAGCTGGGGCCCCTGCACCCACATGGGAGACCTGAAGAAACTCCTGGTTTCAATCTGGCCTGGGCCATTTGAAGAGTGAACCGGCAGATGGAAGGTCTCTCCCTGTCTCTCCCCTACTCTCTCTTTCAACTCTCTCTTTTTTTTTTTTTTCTCCGACAGGCAGAGTTAGACAGTGAGAAAGAGAGACAGAGAGAAAGGTCTTCCTTTTGTTGGTTCATCCCCCAAATGGCCGCTACGGCCGGAGCTACGCAGATCTGAAGCCAGGAGCCAGGTGCTTCTTCCTGGTCTCCCATGGGGCGCAGGGGCCCAAGCACTTAGGCCATCCTCCACTGCCCTCCCAGGCCACAGCAGAGAGCTGGACCGGAAGAGGAGCAACCAGGACTAGAACCCAGCACCCATTTGGGATGCTGGTGCTACAGGCAGAGGATCAACCAAGTGAGCCATGGCGCCGGCCCCTCTTTGAACTCTTTAAATAAAGGTAACACACTGGGGTTGCATTTGGCCTAGAGGTAAGGCAAAGGTTAAGACACCTGTGTGCCATTTTGATTACCTGGGTTTCAGTCCCAGTTCTGCTGTCAGTTCCAGCTTCCTGCTAATACAGACCCTGAGAGGCGACAGGTGACCAGCCAGGGGCCATTGTACACACTGGGGAGTGACCCAGCAGATGGGAACTTGCTCACTCTCTGTCCATATCTGTGTCTCTCTGCCTTTCAAATAATAAAAATAATACCCTAAACTGTATACTTAAAAATGATTTGAATGGCCACTTTTGTTTTATGTATGTCTTACTGCAGTTTTTAGAAAACTAACAACAGATAAAACCAAAAATAGTAACAAAGAATAATATTTGAAAGGCACAGTATTTGGTCCTTAAAGCCTAATTGACTATTTTCTCTCTCCCTTTACAGGACAAATTTGCCCTCTGCTGAGTCAGCACATCACAGTGTGCCCCTGCACCAGTGACATCTGTCTTAGAGAACCCGTGCACCGAGCCGGCCACTCCCTGATTGTTTTCGGTCTCTGCAGTCATTCTGTGCCGTGAGGCGGAGGTTCCAAGGGGGCGGTTTCACATCCTGGGCTGCCGCTCTGAGTCTGTGCACACCCCGTGCCGTTACCTAGCAGGCTCGCCTGTGACCTGTGTCATGACCTTGCTGCGTGCGAAACGAGGATGAGAAGTTTTGGCTTTGGAACTGAGAGCAATGAAAGAGGAGGAATTCAACTGCAGCTCCAGAGCCATGGGCAGGGGGCCCTGCAGGCTTCTTAGAAGGAATCCCAGGTACGCTGTGATTGCTTTGCATGCCTGGTCTAAACAAGCCAGGTGATTGGCCTGGGCTCAAAGGACCAGCTCTCATGCCAGGTGTCCCAACACTTCCATCAGATTACCCAGGTGGCATGGGGCCCCTCTTGTTTCGTCTTCTTTGAATCCTGGACACCACACTGCTTCACCGTCTGCCTTACACGCCTCTCCAGGAGGTGTGTCTACAAAAGTCAGAGTCCCCATTATCCCCCCAGAACCGTCTTGTGGTCCAGAGAGCAGGTGTGAGCGAGCCGAGGTGGTGCAGGCCTGGCTGCCTGCGTCTTCTGTCCCCGTCAGCATCAGGGCCCTGCTTCAGCACTCTCTGTGTCTTCAGCCCTTTGGGCCTCCAGGAAACATTATGAGTTAATTATTTCTCAGGGCTGACTCAGACAGTGGTTTTTTTTTTTTTTTCTTCCAGAGAATTCTGTCAGCCAAGCACTGCCCTGCTGTTATCCCTGGTGAGGGAGCCTTTGTCAGCCGCTCTGCTCTGGGAGGCCCAAGCCCTGGGGGATGGGGTCCAGACCTGGGCCCCCCGGGGATGGGGTCAATTGCTGGGAGGGAGCCCTCCCCCAGCGTGAGAAGCCAACTCTCAAGACTCTCCCCACCAGGCTGCCTTTCAGCCAGTCCCCGTGGGGCCGATGCTCCTCTTTCATTTTGTTGATTGGAGATTGTGTCCCTGAATAGAGCTTAATGTCTTTTGAAATTATCTGTGCTTTTAAAAATGCCTCCTCCTCTCTCCATGTGGTTTAGGTTGTCACTGTGTCCCTCACTGCTGAGGGTGGACCGTTGTCACATGGATGTGGGGGAGAGGGATGATCCTCAGACACAAGCCACTGTCCTTTGAGGCCAACCTGGGAGGGAGTGCCTGGGGGCAGGAGGCCTAGAGACAGACCTTGACCTGCCAGTGTTGGGGATGGGAGGGGTGGAGTGGAGTCCTGTCACTGCCACTTCTCACCCAGGAGCCCTGCTTTCACTGGCTTCCTTGCGTGGATAAAGTGCCCTCTTTGTAGGAGTACAAATCTTCCGCACCATGGGCAGGAATCTGTGCACACAGCGTGGGTCATTTTGGGAGGACAATTGCATGTGCCCTATACCACGATCTCTTCCTATCCATGTGGGGCGCCCGGGGTGCGGGTATCACCATGGTCTCATGGCAGGCAGAAGCTAATGGTTACCTCATTGGAAGTTTGCAAGGTTACCTTGCCCTCGTTTACTCTACCTCCATCCTCCCCGGCTTCTGCCTCCTTCTCAAGCACAGCTCAGTCTTTCATGAGTTCTTGCCCAGAGCCACCCTTCAGATGTGTTTGGGGGTCACCCTTCCCAGGTCCCTTGCCTGCATACCTTACCACTTCTACTGTGGCAGAGACAGCCCACTCCTGGGCACCCTCCGTGGAAGTGATTGAGGTGAAGGGCACACACAGTTGTCCCCCGGAGATGACCCAGGTTGTATCTACGCCTTCCTGGTGACAGCCCAGAAGCTTTGCACTGCTACAGAAGGAAGAGCACGTCATACAAAAGGGGCCAGGTGAAGGCAGGGTGCTGGTGTGAGGAATAATTACAGGAATGCATCCCATCTCCTCCATGAACGCAAGGTTACAATTACATAGTGACAATCCCCTCCTCAAATACAATGACAGAAAACCCAACAACCATGTTTTGTAAGCGTCAACAAATATTTAGAGGACAGTTACTATATGCGAGGAGGTGTTCTGTGTATTACCTGGCTGAGTCTTCTCAATAACCCCGCAGTCTGCTCCATTAGTGCCGAACAGAGACTCAGAGTGGCTACGGGCGAGCCAAGGATCAGAGAATCAGAAGGAGTGAAAACGGGCTTGTTGATGCCTGGAAGGCAGTAGGCTGTGGCGCTAGCAGGTGCTCCACAGATCCTTGTTCACTGAATGGGTCTGCTGGGCTCCAAGGTCAAGGTTTGCCTACTCCCCTATAAGCCATAATTCCAGGGCTGAAAATCTGGGTTAGTCAAGGCCAACAAATGTCCCTCAGGAGAGCTGAAGATCCTATTTTCATCATCTCTCCTGTGCACTCCCCTTCTGTTCCAAGAAGGCATAGAAGAGAGGAGTTAATTTGATTATTTGATGTAGTAAGTGTTGGGAGTGCCAGCCTTGGAGTCAAGCATTGTTGTAGATGCTGGGCTTACAGGAGGAACAAAGCAGGTTACAATCACTGTGCAGAGCTCACATTCTAGCCAGAGTAGACATCTGTCAGATAGGTCAGTAATGGCTGAAGCTAGGCAGCTCATACGTGGATCAGGGTGTGTTTAGGGGAGAAAGGGGGAACATTCTGGGCCTCCTTGGCTGTGGGCTGCCGTGTGCAGACTGGAGCAGGTACCCTGTGGGTTGTCTGCCAGCCCTCTGTCACCAGTATTGCCCACTCCCATTCTCATGGTTGCAGATGTGGCTCGGTAGCTCTGTCCACTGTGGCCTCTTATGTGGCCTTGGTGTTCATTCCAGGAGGGGTTCCTGGAAGTATCTTTGCCAAAAGACCTGGAATTGAGACTGAGAGATTCAGCCTGGGTTGCCTCTCAGACATATAAAAAACCAGGTGCTAAAGCATGACCGTATAAATTTATTTGTCTGTTTATCTTTTACCATGTGTATTGGGGACTCCTGATACTTTCTGATTTTGGATGTTTCTCAGACATGGCTGCCTTCCTGCCCATCCATCCTTGCACTCAGGCTTAAGCTGCCTTGAGTTGGTTTCTGTCACTTATCACCAAAGACAGCTTCCTCTTGAATGGAAGCAAGACCTTCAGTGAAGGGAGAAGTTCTGGCAGTGATGAAGTCAAACTGGCTCCCAGGAGACTGTGGACCACAGTGTGCTTCCCACCCTGCTGCACCTCTCCACCCAGGCCACGGCCTAGGCCCACATTCTGAATGTGCAAATCCATGTGGGTGCAACCAGAGTCTGACCTTTCTCCAAATCAACCCTTGGTGTGGGATCCATATACATGTCCCGTCTCATTCTAGAACCTGGAGAGAGTAAAGATTGGAGGGGCAAGCCACAGCCCACACTGGAGTGCTTGGCTTCTACTCCCAGCTCCAGCTCCTGACTCCAGGAGCTGCTAAAGCAGGTGCTGGGAGGCGTCAGTGATGGCTCAAATAGTTGAGTCCCTGCCACTCATGTGGGAGACCTGGATTGTATTCCTGATTCCTGTTTAGGCCTCAGCCCAGGCCTGGTCATTGCAGGCATTTGAGGAGTGAACTAGCAGTTGGGAGCTCTGTATGTTGGTCTGTTCTCTCCACCTCTCCCATAAATAAATCAATAGAACAGAAGACAGACATCACTTTTGTTCAAGAAGATGCCTCTTTGTTAAAAGTAACTTTTTTTTTAATTAAAAAAAAAGGATGAGCTACTCAGCTGTGGGGACAGTGATGGAGTGGCTTTCAGCATTGATCATGGCAAGATCATTGCAAGTTTAGTAAGAATCAGCTGCTGGGTCGCAGCCTGATTGGAAAGACAACTGTATCCTATTAAAAGAGATTGCATCTACAGAAAATCCTCATCTGGCTTTCTACACAACTGACTCCGACTTGCCCTACAGGTCTCGGTCCGGTTCTCCCTGTCCCACTGGCAGCCTTCCCCAAGGCCAGGTTAGGGGACTGCTTTCTGTTAGAGCACTTATGCACACATCTCTGTCTATTTGAATTGCTGGTAGGTGTCCTGAGAGAAGAGACTACATGTCTAGCACAGTACCTGGCACATGGTAGGTACTCAATATACACTGTTCACTGAAAGCCCGCATGCCGGCATTCATTTAGTATTAGCTTAAGGGTCCTCATACCTAGACTTCTACAGATCCTGCACAACCTGAATTCCCAACAAATTCAGTTCTGGGCAGGAATGATGACTCTGTGAACTTAGCAGGAATCCCAAAGTGCTCTGGCTTTCCCCCAGCATCACCATAGCCCTGAATTCTATCCCCAAGGCCACCTCATAGTCCAAGGGGGCTGTAGCAGGTCAGCCATCACAACTGTATTCCAGGCAGTAGGCTGGTGGGAGAAGGGCAAGGAGACAACCAAAGGGTGGCCTTCCCATCTGAGTCAGTTCTCTGTAGGTAGAGGTCTTGAAAATGCCTCATATAGGCTGGCACTGTGGCTCACTTGGTTAATCCTCTGCCTGCGGCGCTGGCATCCCATATGGGTGCCAGTTCTGGTCCTGGCTGCTCCTCTTCCAGGCCAGCTCTCTGCTGTGGCCCAGGAGGGCAGTGGAGGATGGCTCAAGTCCTTGGGCCCTGCACCCGCATGGGAGACCAGGAGGAAGCACCTGGCTTCTGGCTTCGGATTGGCGCAGCACCGGCCATGGCAGCGATTTGGGGAGTGAGCCAACGGAAGAAAGACCTTTCTCTCTGTCTCTCTCACTGTCTATAACTCTGCCTGTCAAATAAAAAAGAAAAGAAAATTCCACATATAATAACCTTTAGAACTCAGGGGCCAGAAAATCTTGAAACTATTGACTAGCTAGGCTCGTTGTGCCAGATAAACTTGGAATTTTATCATTAGGAAGGAAGAGGGGAACCGATCTTAGGTAGAAACCCGCAGTCTCTCTCTTGCTCCCCAAGCAAAATGGTCAGAGACCTCCCCCTCCCCCCTTATCTCCCAGTTTTTTGTAAGTTAAAAAATCAATGGATCTGTAGGCAGCTCCACTTAGCTGCTGATTTGTGGGTTAGTAATCAATACTTTCATTTCTCTGTGGAGAACTCCAAGGAGCACAGAAGGATCTCCTCCCTCGTTCTCTTTCTCCCTTGGCTTGCTCGCATCTCTTGTGCTTGTTACAGTCTGGGACCACGTGAGGCATTGAACGTAAATGAGCTGTAGGCATGAAGAAGCCTCTTTAGCAGGTGGGCATCCCTCACAAGCCTGGATGATTTGGCAGACGTGGGCATGTTGAGCAATGCATTTGTGGCCCAGGGTGGAACTGACAGCTTTGATCCTCTGTATTTCAGATCAGCCATTGCAGCTTGCAGGCAATGCTGTGACAACACACAGGCCTGGTAGAGGGCTCTCAGACTAGGTGAAGGCGGAGGGACTTCATTTCTCATACCCTCTCCCCCAAAGGCAGACAGTCCACAGTGGCCATGCCTGTAGAATCTTAGCCAGAAGACCCCACTGGCTTGGATGCTCCAGGTACTTCTTTCTCAAATGGCAGCCTGATTTTCTGTCCCACTGGAAGCATCTGAATGTAGGGCAACTGTGATAAGGAAACGTGGGAGAGGAATGAGCGCTGGATTGGAATCCTGGCCCTGCCCCTCATTCTCAGTGTTACCTTGCTAACTCTTTTAGCTCCCCTAGGTGTCTATTTCCTCAGGTAAAATAGCTGTGGTAATGACACTTCCCTTGCAGAGCTGCTCTGAGGATTAAACAAGATAATGTAGGTGAATGCATTTAGCACAGTGCCTGGAGTACAATAGGTACTCCA